AGGGGTGTAAAAATGGGTAAGCAAGATTTTGGATAACAATAGGTAAACGAAATTTCTTACTGTGGGTAAGATTAGTTTTGGATAATTGTTAAGAAAGAGAGAAGATGTTTTTGTAATCCTTTGGAAAAGGAAAAAATCTTAAATGTATGGGAAATTATTGGAAATGGGGGTTGGGTGTCATGTAACTGAGAGGCAAGATTTAAGGAATCTTGAATTTTTTCTTTTTATGATTTTGTACATAACTAGTAAATATAGATATACAAAGTAGTTAATAAGGAACCTAAATAAATGTGGTAAATAGATTTCTATTATAATATAGCTAGGTAAAAACTCCATTTGTTTATGCGCAACTAATGTTCTTATATTAAATATTAATATTATGTGATTATTGGGCCAAGTGGGAGAATGTAAGATGTTCTTATTATGTATATGACCCAATATAATAAAGCTCATAATTAATATTTAGTGAAAGACAAATCTCATCCGTCCGATCGGTTACTTGATGGACGTACCGGATTAAACGAGAACCTCTATAAATTGATCCTCCCTCCACCCATTAGGGTTACCCTCAACAGTTTTTAGACTATTCCATCATTGACGGTTGTGGTAACGTAAGTCTAGGGCAAGGAGGTAGAAACCAGTTTTAAGCTAACGCTTCCGCATATATAATGTTTTTCGCTTCAGGTACGATCTCTATGACGTATTTTTATATGAGATTATTATGTTCAAAATCCTAGTGTTATTATTGTTTTACAATATAGCATGTATGTCTATGCTTAAACTTAATTTTACAGGAGTCGACTATATTAAGAAATCTCTATGGAATTGCTTTTAGTGTTTTCACATCAAATTTTCAAGATTTTGGCCTCTTCTTCAAAATTTCCATTAAGAAAGAAACTATTAAAAAAAGGCAGCCCGGTGCACTAAGCTCCGCTATGCGCAGGGTCCGGAAATGGACCAGACCACAAGAGTCTATTGTATGCAGCCTTATCCTTCATTTCTGCAAGAGGCTGTTTCCACGGCTCGAACCCGTGAAAGCAGCAACTTTACCGGTTACGCCAAGGCTTCCCTTCAAGAAAGAAACTAAAACAAATACATTAAATGATATGCAGCAGCCCTTGATTATGATAAATCATATGAAGTTGTTTGCTAACATTTAAGAGTCAAGATTATTGGTAACAGCAATATTTATATTACTGTTGGACTGCATACAATCCCTAATACTAACCTATAAACAATCTCAGTTGTTTGGTATGAGATCATGTATCTTCTTGTGGTAGTATTGGATTCCGATAAAATCGTCACTTAAACTCAACATTGTGAAAGTACAACTTTTCCATACCTTTTAGTCTGTAATGTGCAAACTGCAGACCACTTTCTGAGGCAGTCTATTTTCTCAGGCGGAAAACACAAACATTTTGACAGTCTAATTTCCAATTATCAAATCATACTCATTAAAATGGCTGCTTGCATTAGAATGTAAAGATAAAAAGGGAGAGTAAAATCCTTCTAATAACTTACATGAACTCATTGCTCTACTTTCCAAAGGTACGAGAGCAACAACTTCTACCAAGACACTACACTTCCAGGAAATGCAGCAATTTGTGGGAATCGAACAGCTTCTCAGCCAAATGCTTTAAATCCTGTGGCACAACAACTTTTGAATGATCTTAGCATGGCGACTCCAAGAATTAGTGGCTTCTACGCAGCCACGAAGAGGGAAGTCGCTGGTGTTACTCTCTATGGAGTAGCACAATGTGCTGAAACCATCACTAAAAGTGGCTGCCAAGATTGCTTGACAGTGGCATACAAAAACATAGAAGGCTGCTTGCCTAAATATGCAGAAGGAAGAGCTGTAGATGCAGCCTGTTTTATGAGGTACTCGGATAGAGACTTTTTCGCTGATAATAAGACAACAGATATCACACCATTCCTAGGCGGAGGAGGTAGGAAATGAAGCTCTCTTTTTTCTCAACTCCTACCAGTAAGTTAATTCATTATGAGACGAATTTATAATTGGTGGTGGTGCTTTATGCAGGAAGTTCAAACAAAAAGAAAGCCGTCATTATTGGGGATGTAGTTGGAGGTGTAGGACTTCTTTTGATTGTATTGGCTTTGTTTTTATGGTATCGACTTTCTAGAAAACCAAAGGCAGCTGAAAGAGGTAATATTTGATGATCATTTCTTTATTAAGTAGTAAATGATATAGTAGCTCTTTTCGTTTGTCTTTTCGTTTATTTATGTAGTATATGATATAGTATCTACTGTTCAGGTAATATACTGGGAGCAACTGAGCTGGGAGGTCCAGTGAGCTACAGATTGAAGGACCTAAAAATTGCTACCCAAGATTTCAATGAAAGTAATAAACTTGGTGAAGGTGGTTTTGGTGATGTATATAAGGTAACACTGAAACAGTTGAAGATCCTTATCTCAATCAAATTGACTAGATAATCTTGAACTGGCTTCTATTCGTTTATCCACTTAATTTAATTGAAATGATGATTCTAATGTTATTGAACAGGGCACTTTGAAAAATGGACATGTAGTTGCTGTTAAGAAACTAGCAATTTTTTCAAGCAGAGCAAAGGCAAATTTTGAGACTGAAGTTCGGCTTATCAGTAATGTCCATCATCGCAATCTCATCCGTCTCTTGGGGTGTTCTAACAAAGGAGCAGATCTACTACTTGTTTACGAATACATGGCAAACGGCAGTCTCGAGAGATACTTATATGGTTGATCTTTTTGTTCATCCAGCTTACTATTTTTTTCCAAGTCAAATCGTTATGTTCAAGAAAATTTAAAATAATCTTACCTCTCAATGTTTTGCAGGAGACAAACGAGGGATGCTCAACTGGAAGCAACGATTTGATATAATCTTTGGCACAGCTCGTGGCCTTGCCTACCTGCACGAGCAATTCCACGTCTGCATCATCCATAGAGATATAAAATCCAGCAACATTCTACTAGACGACGAATTTCAGCCAAAAATTGCTGATTTTGGGCTTGTAAGACTTTTACCTGAGGATCAGAGTCATGTCAGCACTAAGTTTGCTGGTACCTTGTAAGTCAATTTGACTGCTCGAGTTTCTTACCTGATATCACTAAAAGCATTATGAGAACAACTCAATGAGCTCTAATTGAAACAGGGGATATACTGCACCAGAATATGCAATTCATGGACATCTAACAGAGAAAGTCAACGTCTATAGCTTTGGGGTTGTCGTTCTTGAAATAATCAGTGGCAGGAGGAGCAATGATATGCAGATTGAGCCTGTCACTGAATATCTCCTTGAAAAGGTCGGTTTTCATTTTCAAATTCCACTTTTCCTTTCATATTTTACTAAGTATTCTCTTCCAACTTCTCTGTCCCATTCTAAATGTACCTGTGCTATGGTGAAAATAGGCGTGGAAACTTCATAAAACTGGCATGCCTGAAAAACTGGTGGATGAGACTTTAGACCCAAATGAATACAACGAACAAGAAGTGAAGAAAATCATAGAGATTGCCTTAATGTGTACACAATCACCAGTAAATCTTAGGCCAACCATGTCTGAAGTTGTCGTAATGCTACTTTGTGATCATGGCACAGACGCGAGACTCCTAGCAGGCCTACTATCATTAGCATGGGTAAGAGTACACCAGCGGACTCACCCATGACTACTGGATCATCAGCTTCTAACGCAACCAATACTTTTTCTGATTTCACTGGACGCTAGCTACATAAGAGTATACTTTAGACCTGAAAATTATGCTGGCACCACAGCATCTGAAAAAACATGGAAAGTATGCTACAGTGCAAAATGACCACTCTTTAAGTTATACAAGTCTTAATTGTTCATGGTTCATATCCGTGACTGACTATGCAAACTAGAACTCTATCATCATTGCAGAAGCAATGAGAAAATTGCTGTCTTGGCTGTTAGAGTGTCTTATTAAATGATGAGCTTGAACTCGACCCCATTCATAATAATATTCGACCTCAATTCTTCATGTATAACATGCAATTTTGTAGAACTTCTGCATACACTAATACTGCAATTTCAAAGTCATATGATGATCCTCCACATGACAACAAATAACAATACAGTATGGTGACTCCGAGGTACTGCTGTTGATATCATCGTATACTATAATAAATAAAAAAAAAATTATGTTAAATCTAAGCAAGACGATCTACTAGTTAAGCTCAAAGCTGGGACTTTTTTATAACAAATAAAGAAGGTAAGTTCAAGGCGTAAAGTATGCATGGGGCAAATGTCTTACTTATCACAGTGTTAGCCCATGAGACTTCAACCCCTTACAATTGTCTTGGGACATCTAGAGGCTGCTCTGATGGAAGCAGTCCCCACGACAATATCGATGAGTGTGTGTCGGATCCTCCAAAAATAGTGTATTTTTGGAGGATCCTACACGGGTGCGGCAACTGTTTTGGAGAGTCCGCGCAACATAGCCCACGAGTCTTTAGCAATGTCACAGGTATACAGAACTTTCCAAGAGTAGATGCAGAGGAGGTCTGGAGTTGACAATTTGATGTTGTTTATTAGTTGGAAGAAAATTAAATTAACTCTTCATGTACAGATTGGAAAAGCATTTGAAGTGAAACTGTCACGCTATTCTTTATCTCATTAAATCATCTTGGAGTATACAGTCTATTTGATTTACTCCTTAATTATTTTGAAGAATTTTGGTATTTCCTTAAGTTATTGAGGCTCATAGAGGAGAATAAAAAAGAACTATTTGTTGAAAATCTTATTAAATAAATAACAGTGTATCAGCTCTAACAATGTAAGCTTTTTGATAAGATGGTCACACAATTAAATGTAATATTAGAGCAGGCAGACCCACCCTGCCCTTTATCAAAAAGAATTTCACATGTTAGACCGATAAATAGAATCAGCCCAGCACGTGAGGAGGTGTATTGAAGACACAATTAAGTAAATAAAAATGTACCCTCTCTAACATCTTTTAGATGAGGTGGTCACACTTCTATTACCCAGCGGCACTGAGGCAGGTAATGTGGATTGTGTATTTCTTCCATATAGAGCTACATTCTGGGTTCACAAAATTCTTTCAACTTGTGTAAAGGAAACATACAATTACATCTTTTCAGCAAGACAGTCAATCTTCATACAAATGACAAGAATGTGTTTTGGAAGAATAAGATCGAGCACGTGAAAAACTCAACCAATATTTTCCTGGTTCAGTATATAGCTCAGAAAAAGATCTTAATGGGAGTACTTACAAACTAACAACTACGAGAATCACCAGTAATCATCGCAAGAGCATATCCCTTTGTCAAAATGGTGGAACAGATTTGTATCTCTCACTATTATCTTTCTTCTTGTTACATCCAAGAGTGACAATCCGCACAAATACGAAGATTTTTTGTCACCCTAATTGGAATACCAGAACCAGTATGAATCAGACCAAATACTGTAGCAAGCCGTTCACTATGCCCACATATCCATTCTGCTTTTGTTTCCTCGTTTACATCATGAAGCACAACTCTCGTATCAGGTTTATACCCCATTTTGTCAATAGCTTCTGATAATTCATCCCAAACTTCATTGTATTCATCTGAATTACGAAATTCAAAACTGCCACCAGCCATAAATATGTGTACTCTATTTCTAACCTGTATCCAGCTGCATCCGGCTTCCTTTTTGATTCCCTTATTCTCCATCATCTCCCTCACTTTTTTAACTCCCTCCCACATTCCTGCATTTGCATAAATGTTTGACAGTATCACGTAATTTCCACAGTTGTTAGGTTCCATCTCAAATAGCTGCTCAGCCACAAGTTCTGCAAGAGAGACATTTCCGTGAAGTCTGCATGAATTGAGCAGTGAGCCCCAAATGCTTCCACTAGGCTTGACAGGCATTTTCTCCGCTACTTGCAGTGCCTCTTTAATTTTCCCAGCTCTACCTAATATATCAACAAGACAAGCATAATGCTCTGAGGAAGGCCGAATTCCAAATTCTCGACTCGTGTTCTCAAACAATTCCTCGCCTAAGTCCGCCAGCCCAGCATGGCTACAGCCAGACAACAAGGTGATAAATGTCACCCCATCCAGCCTAACTCCACTGCCGACCATATCATCAAACAATTTAATTGCTTCTTCCATTAAACCATTGATCGCATACCCATTAATAACAGTATTCCACGATGTTATGTCTTTGTATTTCATCCTCTCAAACACTCTCCTGCAATACTCCATTGCTCCGCATTTTGCGTACATGTCCAAAAGTGAGTTTACTAAAACAAGATCAGGAACTTTAGTTGATTTAACAATTTGTGAATATACCTCCCTTCCATAATAAAGGTATGTAACCTGAGTACAAACAGCTAAAATCGCTGTAAAAGTCACCCAACTATATCCCACTCCATCTCTTTGCATTCTCCTAAAAGTCTCAAATGCCTCAAAAAAATTTGTCCTTTCTTAACAAACGGTCAAACCCTGCGATCAACGAATTCCAACTTACAACATTTCTCTCATGCATTTCCTCAAACACCTTCAACACACCTTCAAAACACCCACACTCACTGTACACTCCCATAATAGCATTGTGCACAACGTGATCAGGTTCTTTATTAGCCTTAATAATCTGGGCATGTACACCTCTACCGACCCTCAAATCCGAAAGTCCCGAACAAGCTTTCACAGCCATAGAAAACGCAAAATTCCCCGGTTCAATGGACTTAAACAACATTTGACAATAAATCAATAATGCTTCCCTAAAAACCCTTTTTTCGAATACCCAATTGCCATTGCAACCCAAACTGACTCAGGTTGGTCCTCGTTTTCAAGCCCTTGGTGCTCGAAAACACGACGAGCCTCATCTAACTGATCACAAACAGAGAAAAGGGTAATTAACTTAGATAAAATTAAAGGGTCATTGAGAAATTTACTTCTGTTTGGATTTAAAAGAAGGTGAAGATATAGCCTGTGACCATGTTCTAATGATTTTTGTGAGATACAAGCATGGAGGAGATTTAAATAAAATTCTTTGTTTTCAGATTGAGAATTTTTTTGGGATTCTAATAGGAGAAGAGCATCGTTTAATTTTCCGGATTTAGTGAGAGATTTGAGAGTTGCGTTGAAAGGTTTAGGAGGAGTTTTGTTAAGCTTGTTGAAGCCTGACGTGGCAGTTATGGTGGTTGTAACAGTTGGTACAGAAATGGCGGGAATCGCCATTGATGTCTTGTGAAAAGTTCGTTTGCACTATGGTTTGTGTTGAATCCGTGTGTTCTCATGGTGGAGGCATCCTCCATTGACACATGAGCTGGTGAGAGACAAGGGGAAATGAATATTCTAGAAGATGTGAAAATGATTTCTGTATATGCAAAGTATCTCAATATACAAATTATATACACAAATGAAACCACATATCTAACTGCTGAGTGTAAGTACAAAATTGCCCCTAACTAACACTAACTATAAAGGGGATAAATACAAATACAATATAAGTCTCAATACCCCCTCCCCCTAAACCCCCAAGTCGGAGGTGAGGAACTCACTGCCAACTAGCCAAGAATAGCAGAATGTTTAATCCCTGTAAGAGCCTTGGTTAGAATATCAGCTAACTGTGTATTGGTGGAAATGTGATGCAGTGTAATAAACCATCTTGAATCTTGTCCCTCACATAGTGACAGTCTACCTCTATGTGCTTAGTTCTATCATGAAGGACTGGATTTCTTGCAATGTGAACAGCTGCCAGACTATCACAAAACACAGGAATAGGATCATTGCAAACCACTGCTAGTTCATTCATCAACCTCTTCACCCTCACTAACTCTCCTTCCACTTTCCTTATTGACATGTACTCTGCTTCAGCAGAAGATAGTGATACTGTGCTCTGCTTCTTGGACTTCCAGCCAATAGGGCTATCACCAAGTAGGACAATATAGCTACTGACTGACTTCATTGAGTCAGGGCAAGATGCCCAGTCAGAATCACAATAAGCCCTTAGACCATAATTGGGATCCTTGGACAGAAAGATTCCCAATGTAGGATCTTGTTTCAGTAAAGCATCCTTCAGATGTGGTTCCCTTGGGGCTTGCATAAACTGGCTCAGGTGTTGGACAATGTATGTTATGTCCAATCTTGTATTAGTGAGGAAATTGAGCTTTCCAACCGATTTTCTGTAGGGACTGAAAGTAACGGTCCTTCTCGAGCGTTCAACTTGATTGTGGAATCAAGAGGAGATGATATAGTAGTGTAGCCTAAGTAGTTATACTCCTTCAGCAAATCATTAGTGAACTTCCTTTGAATCATCAGGACTCCATCAGCCTGATACAGTATCTCCAGATCCAAAAAGTAATGTAATATTCCTAAATCTTTGATCTTAAATTGGTTGTGCACGAATGTCTTCAGTTTTTCTATCTTTTCTAAGTTATTGCCAGTCAGGATCATATCATCTATATAGACTGCTACAAATACCACTGAAGTTCCTTCCTTCTTATAAAATAATGAGTCACTTGCTGAGTGCTAAAAACCTTTTGAACATAAAGATTTTGTCAATTTGTCATACCATTGTCTGCTAGCCTGTTTGAGCCCATATAGAGATTTTCTGAGCTTGCACACCAAGTTACTGTCATCTACCATCAAACTCTGCGGAATCTCTATGTATACTTCTTCATGCACATCCCCGTGGAGGAAAATATTATTTACATCCAATTGGTAAAGACCCCCCACACCCTTTTTACTAAAATGGTGACCAATATCCTAACTGTAATCATCTTCACCACTGGGGAGAATGTCTCAATATAATCAAT